CATTAAGTGATATTACAAACACAGAATTGATGATTTTTAGATGCCTTGGGTCAAATGTGGGCAAGGCTATATATAGCCCAAAAGTACTTGGTGTGCACACCAATATATTTGCATATCGCACATGCTTGAAGATCTCACAAACTTGGGGAGCAAGGAGCTGATGTAAGCCATGATGTATTAAGCCACAAAAGTCAACAATATTCTTGTTTACCAAGGACTAGAATGGTGCAAGTTGGCACCATCATTTTGAGCCACATCATATTATAACAAATGCGATCCAGTCCATGTTATGGAGAGAGCAGTACGTACTTTTCTTCTTCAATGGCTTCGCAGATGTTTAGATCCATCGAAGAATCTACAAATTAAGATGGTTTGCTCCTGTGAGTGGTATTTTCAAACTGTTTAATGCATTATGCATCATACCATCACTAATGAAGTTCAGGAGAATGTAGATTATTCTGTGAGTTGGTCATAATTGGACTGCTTGATCATTTGTCAAATACGAAAGATTTACGTTAGCAAATAAATCACAAACTTAAAAAACAATCATTTAACAATATTCGAGTCAAAGTCAACACCGCAAGAAAAGTCCGTGTTATTTTTTAAATTACATGAGAGGTCTATGTTATTTAATAAATTTATAAAAAAAAAAAATAAGTATAATTATCCCAAAAAAGAACCGTGATAACATTTACTTCAATATTCTGCCCAAAAAGTATATAATATACAAAAAGATCATTGAGTAAATAATCGGCATACCAAAATAAGAAACTAAGATTATTATGGATTTATTAAAATATGATTATTATGTTTTAAATGGGGTCTCAATTTAAATAATTATGTGCTTATTTGTATGTTTTACGTGTTGCTATTTTTTAATTTATTTTATGGTCTTTTAATGCATTGGGTTGGGTCGAGTTTTATGCTGCTGGGTCATAGGAAATCCATGGGCAGGTTGAGATTTTGAATTGGGCTTTCGTGAGCTTATTTTATTAAGCCTTAGTCCTAAGTTATATTTTGTTAGCCTTAGTACTACAATTGGTTTACAATCATCATACATATAGAAAGAGAAAGCACATCGATAGAAACCCTAACGGTCATACGTTTTGGTTTGTGGAGGTGGTTCGTGGAGGGGAAATCGGAAGAGGGCTGTAACCCTAGGCCGGAGGCTTGAGAATTCGTAAGGCAATTAAGTACCTTATATTTTCTTCCCCTTTGAACCTATAAACATTTCACCTCTGAAAATATATATTATATGTTTAGGTACTGTCAAGAACTAGGATTCGATTTTGGAATTTTATAGGCAAAACCTGAAAATCCTCTGTTAATCGGAACTGCATGTAATAATATTGATTCGGTTAATAATAATTCGATTACTATGTTTCTGATTATGATATTCTGTTTTGAAACTGTTTAATGTGTTTGTATTGGTGGTTCACATGCTTTAATCCTTTATGATTCATAGTTTTATTTGTATTAGTATACGTTTAAGTATTGTCAAGGCTTTGAACTGTTAAATGTGTTTGGTTCACCGGAGTGACAAATGGGCGAATTGGGCCGGGTTTGAGTTGGGTTAAAAATGGGAGGATCAAGATCCATATTCAACCTGTTCAGAATGAGTTAAAAATGGGTAGGTCAACCCGTTATGACCCATGAATTAATTAATTATTATTATTTTTAAATTTTTAAATTTTTTTATTAAATATTAACATGATTTAACATATATTATATATTTGATTATCCATCATGTGTGTCTTAAGAAAACGCAACTTAATTATTTCAAAAATAAAATAACACTTAACTGTGGAGGTAATATACATTTATGTTGAGAGGTACAAGTACAACACATTACATTAGAGTGCCGCATGAATCTTCAATCTAATATGTTTGGGTTATTTGTTTAGAATTAATGCAAAGAGCCTATGTTCCATGTCCCTTAGTACAGTATCTCTTTCTGAGACCATTCACTTGCTCGTAGATAGATGATAGAAACTTTGCCTTACGAGAGTTTTTGTTATTAGTTTATAATTTGTTTAGATAAAAATTAATAGTGAAAGATATAAAATGAAAGTAAATAAATGTTTGAACATGCATTTGATTTAAAGAAAGATACAAAAAATTATTATTCCATGGATTGAAATGTACAAAACTTATAAGAAAAAAGAAGAAGGTATTATTATTGTAAAAAAAATTCAAAAAATCTAAATTATCTTATGTTTTTCTTAAAAAAATAACTAATGAAAATTTAATTAGTTATAAAAATTATTATTAAAAACTTAATTTCCTCATATCTAAACTCTTAAAATGTCAGACATTACCCAGTGTCTTTGGTAGAGTGTACAAAATTTAAAAACAAAAGAAAAACCTATGAAATGTGTAAAATTGTAGTATCATATTCAATTATTTATGTTTTTTGTAACACTGAAAGAAAGGTTGAGGTAATGAATAATGTGAGAGGGCAGAGGAGTAAGAGGAAGGTAGGAATGGGGCAACCAACATTATAATAATAATTTTTTAAAAATTTTTATTTATTTTTTTAAATTTTTTTAATTTTTTTAAAATTTTTAATTATTTTTTTAAAAAAAAATTAATCATTTTTTTTTTTTAAATTATTTTTTCAAAAGGTTTTAAAGTTTTTTATTTTTTAATTATTTATTTTTTTTAGAAGAAGTTTCTAGAGAGAGAAACTTAAAAAAAGATGATTGATAAGAGACAAATTTAGAGAGAGAGGATTGTGAGAGAGAATTTTAGAGAGAGAAATGAGTTGAGTGTACTATAGAATAGATGTGTGTTGTGTGTTTATTATGTGATGGGCATCTTGACCCTCAAATTAAGTGGTTAAAAATTACCCAACCTATTTTGACCCTCAAATTAAATATGGTTCACCCATAACTATTAAAAGGATGGCGGATATGAGCGGATTGATGGTTCCTGACCCATTTTGCCACTCTTACTGGTTCACACGCTTTAATCCTTTACCGGATTAAAGACTGAATATAACTCTGATATCAATTACGAACTAGTTGTTTCACAATTCAATCACAAAGCCAAAACCATTAGGAAGAGCTAATACCAATTCATATCTACTCATTTTTTTTCTCATCTGGATTCGATGTGAAACACCTCTAACAGAAACTCATTAAAACTTCTGGTAGGTACCTAAATAACTATATGTAAAGCCTCTAATGACGGGACCAACTCTAATTTCTCACAAAATTAAATTTAATAGTCATAAACAAGAGCAATAATTGTTGAAATTTTCGATTAAAAAACTAAATTCGACGAACGCCTAAATACTTTGTGGCAATTTTTTTTTCATGCTCTTCCTTAATTAAGACAAATGATAAAACTTGGAGAGATGGCCCATTTAGACAGTGGAAATTAATGTAGATCTTCAATAAAACTAAAGGACCAAGGGCCGTGATCCACTCTGGTACACATGGCAGTCCATATCAATGCATAGTCATGAAAATTGTCAACTTGCCTTGATATTCGACAAATGAGGAAAAAATATGATACTTTTTTCTATTTTTTCTCTTTTACTCTTTAAATTTCTTTAATTACCTTTTTAAAAAGGTTAAATTTTTCTTATTTAATCATGTTTTAATTTATTTCATTCAAAATTTAGTTTTCTTTCCTTTTTTTTTTTTTTTTTATTCTTATTTTTTTTAAAAAAAATTCCCACTATACCTCCTGAATTCAAATCCTGTCTCCGCCCCTAAACACAACGGACTCTTTTGCTGAATGGGTTGTTGCCTAATAGGATCCAGTAAAACACAATCTTATTTAAACAAATAAAAATTTACCTTGTCAAAGGTGGAGTCCCGCTAAGTCTAGAGGCTGAAAAATAGTCTTTGGTGATCTCGAAGGGAGAAATTATTAAACGATTTTAGACAATTTGATACTTGATAGATCAATTCAATTAAGACTATCTAATTGAACAAATAATTTTACAATAATATATTAATATATTACAAAAAAATCTCAATACTAGTTTTCGTTAAGTTAATCCACCAAATACGAAATGGAGACATAATATATATAGTTGGTCAATGTGTTTTCTTAAACTTTTTCAGAAAAAAAAAAATAATAAATAAATAAATAAATCCTTTATATATAAATTCAAGTGTGGGTCTCATTCACTCCATAAAAAGGATGAGGAATAAAAATTGTAGGCTAGACAAATTCGCTAAACAAAATTGCCTGCCAATAATGTCCTTTGATGATGGTGGTGGACCCCACACCGAACTCCCCACCTGAGTCAGTTGGGCGGCTCAAATGTACACGCACAGACACTACTAAAATGTTCAGGTGCAATTGGACATCACGGAAAATTACAATTTTTTTTAAAAATAAAATAGTGATAAAGAAATAACTTACTAATATAATGATGGACAACAAATTTGAAATACTTCAATGGTATTTTGTTACATTAGAATGAGATTTGTTTCAATTTAAATTTAACTCTGCCTAATATATATCCTTTTTGATTTTTTTTCTTTTTCAAATCATCACTTGGAACTAAAATAATTCATTAAGTCAAGTATAATATGATGCCAGTTTATTTGAAAACAAAAATAAAGTAATTTAATGGGTTCAATTCAGTTATATCCTGTGATTTGTCCAATCTTCAAGGAGACCTCTACACATTTACAAAAATTCAGTCAAACTCTTTGTCATATTATAGGCTGATAAAGCCAAATAAATAAAAATAAAAAATTAACATGGCATAGAGTTACAGCTGAAAAAGTACCATGTCTCCTAAGCCAATGGGACAATTGTAAGGTAAAATTGTTTCACTATCTTCCTGCTTATAATGTCGTTCAAAACATTTTAACCACCATGACACCAAAACTCACACTTTATGCTTCTCTCTCTCTCTCTCTGTCTGTCTGTTTCTTTGTATGTAAAAACTATGCTCTCGAATTCTATGTACAAAGAAACTCGCGAAGGTGAAAATTTCTTGCAATTGAACATGTACAGCAACACATGACAGCTAGAAAAAAAAAAAAAATTGCTGAAGCTGCCATAGACAGTTTCCATGAGAAAGAAAACCATCGAAAACAAGGTTCCTCTTCAAGAACGAATGGGGAGCTATGCTAAAACGTTGAGCAGCGCGCATTTTCAGCTCCTGAGAAATTCCCAAGGTCCCGTTCCAGTCCCTATCCTGCAAATGTAGTAGAAAGAAATTGAGAATGATTTTAATTGATGAGTTTGAGTGAAAGTGATTAGTGTTCTGTGAAAAGGGAAGTTACCTCCAAAAGCCAGCAAATGTTCTAAGACTCATGTAAATGGTTAGAGCAAACCAGATTCCAATGAAACCATAACTCGCGGAAAGAATGAACAAAAATATTATGCTGCATATAGCCACCATGACCTAGCCAAAGAAGAATCTAAAGTAAGTTCTGCTAATGTGATAAAACAAATGAAGTTTGACTTTATGTCTCATATAGTCCCAAAATGATAGGATACACCATTCTAACTGCCCTTTACATAACTACTTTTCAAGTTTGTTTCCTTCCATATGCTTGTCAAACACGTAGACCATTAGTACTCAATAATTTTTGGAAACCATTTCAGGAAAAAAAAAACTTTAGTTTTAATTTTTGGAAATCATTTTCAAGGGTAAATCTTTTTTAAAATACGTGCCTTTTCGATAGGTGGATGCATTGGCATAGCTGTTTTTGTCTATACAACATTTTTCACATTGTCCTTTTTGAGAAGCAAATCAGTAAATAATTTCAATACATGTAAATCCCCTCATTTTCATTCTTTATGAATTGAGGTGAAGACTAGAGCTTTACCATTGCATAAGCAGTGTATGCAAAATCAGATGCTCCAAAGTTGACACCATCAAAAACAAAGGCCAAGCAATTGATTGGTTGAGTAGCTGCAACAAACTGACATGAAAGACGAATAGCAAATATAAGTTTGTTGAACAGAATACGTGAACTAGTAACAATGTTTTTCCAGTTAGAAGGCAAGAAGAGTACCGGAATGCCAACATTGATGAGGCGTAGAACTTCGGCATCTTGTGTAAATATTCTAGCACCAAACTTCAACCCAACTCCAAGGACAACTGATAATGCCAACCCCAGAACCAATCCCAACTGCAGTATTGATTTTATTATCAATTCAAGAGAAAATCTTGTGAGACGAAATGACATGTGAGAATTCCGTTAATAGGATTTTTGTTGTTTATTTGTTTTTCTCCTCATCGGCAAGAAACTCAAGCAATCATTTGTTCATATGGAGATACCACTAGGCTACAACCTTTGGTGGTTGTTAATAGGAACATTTAGATACCTGCAGCACTCGAGAGGCAGTAGCTGTTGCCTTTCCGTAGTTCTTTTCAGCAAATGAACTTGCAAGTATTGCCTAAATGAGAGAAAGCCAACTGATGTTTAGTCTGAAGACAAATAGACCATGAAAAGAGATCCAGAAACAAATCAAATGCTTTATCAATATATTGCAAAAATGTTTCTGTTTTTTCAGACAAAGTTTTGAGGGCAGAAAATATCAGGATGCAGGTTTGTTGGTAGGCAGTTTTCACGAAGCCTAATTTATTGTTAACAGACAAGAAAAACCAAGAAAGAGGACTACACATTTGATGAAACATAAAAATACTCAAAATAGCTAACTAAAATTCAATCCAATACCTAGAAGTACATATTTTATAGTCGTATTAGTCTGACACACAAAGTACTATAAGGTTAGCAATTCAGATGTGCTTTTTTGCTTCTAGGAACAGAAAATTGAACCAGTACTGCTCTCAAATTCAAGAAAAAGTGCTCAAAATGACCACAAAACAAAGTGTCTAATGATCATCATCCGATTAGGCTGTTTATTGTTTAGTCACATATCGAAGCAGATTAAATATTTTTAGTACTTTTGAACAATGAAGATGTGAACTATCATTCCAGCACTTGTTTTGAGCAGAAACCATTACTAACCTGCCCTGCAACAGCCAATCCATCAGCCAGAAGAGATGTTGCCAGCCAGACCTGCAAGCAGACCTGAAATGCAGCCATTTGTGTCGGCCCCAGTCGTGCAGCCATTGAAGCAGCCAGGGTTACACAGAATGTTACGGCTATAACCCTCATTAATAAAAGAAAACCTGAACTCAATTACAAAACAAGTACAAATTACTGGTGTTCGAATTTTTTCTTAAAAGCTCAAATATGCACTGTCCAGCATAAACTTCAATCAAACACAATTTGAACATCGACATGTTCTGATATTGTAGCACAAAATCCTTACCATTTTTGAGAAATCGACCCAATTGTAGATGCTTGGCACTAGGAGGTATAAGATCAACTTTTTCTAATAATTTCCAAAAAAGTATAATCGAAATTAGGTACCTGCAGTATCAACCGAAAACAAGAAAATATGTGAGAAATTCCCTCACATATACAAAAACATATGACACTTGCAGAAGTGTTTGGTTGGCAAATAAATTGACTTACTGGGATATAATATGCGCGATGGCTGCACCACTGACACCCATACGGAACACAAAAATAAATATTGGGTCCAAAACTATATTTGTTACATCTCCCGCCACTGAATTAGATCATCCAATAAACAAATTAGATAGAATTTGGAGAAAAGATGTGAGATAAAATTATTTATTTCTTCTTTAGAGGACTAAAAAGAGAAAAGATAAAGCTCAAGATGAATTATCCAACACAATAAGATAAATTCTAAGATTTCTTAGTCTTACACTTTCATTATTGCATATATGTGTGCATATAAATGATTATGTGAATATGTTTCGCAATTCGTGTTTAGTTCAATTACCAGTGGCAAACAAAGGAGTTCTCGTGTCCTTGAATCCACGAAAGACCCCTTGCATTGCCAATGAAAGAAGAACTGCAGGGGCACCAAGTGATCTTAATGTCAAATACTGCTGAGCAGGGTGTAACATAGGGGAATCCTGTACAAGTTAAAATTATTTTTCTGTTAAAAATCATCAAATGATGCATAATCGAGGCAATGTAGTATGTGAAAAGACACATGCAGAAGCTGAAAAAAAAAATTGAAGACAAGTTCAACAGATTCTGTAACAGAAAGTGCTTACGGATTTCACTCCCATGAAATTCAATATAGGCTTTCCTAGGGAAATTAGGAATACGGCTTGGAGGAGGCCGAGGATGGCACCAATGATTAACGCTGCTGACGCTGATGGAATTTGCCTCTTTTCATGCTTAACCTTAGCTACACCTAAGCTACCATCACTTGACTCGGACTTATATGTACTCTCAGCAGAATCTGGAAGAGGATATAGGACACTCAGTTTATTTTTTATGAATTAAAAAATTTATTATAGGAAATGACTTCAATAAATATTGACAAAACTTACCATTTAGTGGTATCAACTTCTCACTCTCACTGTCTATAGGTGACTGCATTTCCAAGCTTTCGCTGTCTTGTTCTGCTGGATTTACTTTTGCATTTGCCATAGTATCTTCCTCAGCAACAAAAGAGGTCGTGACACTGACGAGTGGGAATATTGCGATTCTTGATACTTGATTGAACACGGCAATAGAAACTCCTACAGCAGCAAGTTCTATTGGACCTGTACAAATTCACACACACAAACTTTTTACCATGTTTATGTCTTCAATAAAATTAAATAAAAACGTTAATTCTGGAAGAAAAAAAACATTATGGTAGGTTTTAGTAGGTAGGGGATAGAGAATTGGTACAGAAACTGGACCATAATCGCTTTTAGTTTCAAATATCAATCACTAGGGTACTACAGAAAAAGAGGTTTAACCTTAAGAAAACAATGACATTCTCAAATATGAAAGCAATTTTATTTGTGTTACATTTGAGCACCACCATGTCGGAGTCAAGCATGTGAACTAACATACATTGCAGGATACAATACGAAATCCGAGTTAATAGCCTCAGAGAAGGCTAGTTCTGCTGCAGCAGATGAACTAATTGACGTGTATTATACATGGATTAATCCATTTTCACCTATGAGTTTAGTGTGATATTGCCAAGCTCTTGTGGCTCAAGCTACAAGAGACAAGTGATGGAAAGAGCTGTCCAAAAATGTTCCATTAACAGTAAAATAAGAAGAAAAATAGGTATAGTTGTTAATATTTGAAATTTGTGTCCATTTCCTTCAATGTGGATTTTTAAAAACTAGACTTGGAAGGACTCGAATTTAGGGTTTTTTTTATAAGGTTTCAATAGCCACATAAGAAAAATCCTTTTTACTATTTTGTGATTCATTATTTATAGGAGGTATAGTTTTTTGGGATTTTAAATTAATTGGAATGCCCACATATTAAACTTTTTTACTATTTTATACTTTAATATTTATAAGAAGTTTATTTTTTAAGGATTTTGAAAAAGATTTGGTCCTTAATAGTTCTGCTCTGGGGAGGCAGGGGTAGCAAAGCTGGTGGGTCTAAATTTTCTGTCCTATATTTCTTAAGCTTTTCCAGGCATTGCTGTTTCAGATAATGCACAAGAACTTTTGGTGTTCTCTATTTCTTAAGCTTTTCCAGGCATTGTTTTTTTTTTTTTTTTGGTAAAATTTTCCAGGCATTGTTGTTTCAGATAATAATGCAAAATAACTTTTGGTGGGTCCTAGTGTTTTTTGTCCTCTATTTCTTAAGCTTTTCCAGGCAATGTTCTTTCAGATAATGCAGGAAAACCCCTTTTTTTTCCCTCTCACAATTCAAACATAAACACATTAGCTCTCAACTTTATTGGAGGAAAGATCATACCATCCGAACTAATGAACCTGTTAACCAAACTATTATATCAAGTTCGAAAAAGAATTCTCAAAATTTTAACTTTTTAACAACAATGTTCTTATAAATAATAGTACTAGATTAAATTATTTTCCTATAAATTAAAGTAGAAGAAAACTCTAAACAAAGAAAATGGTAGCATCTAAGTCACACACAGCACGAGTGTGAAAGCGACAAAATCTAAGTCACACAAAATGGAAGTAAGAGCAGAAGCATGCCCAGAGTCTGAAAATATGACTGATTGAGAAGAAATTGTGTGACTTAGAGTAGCCTCGTATCTATCCAAAACTTAAAAAGAAGCACCATAAATGTCCTATTAGGAACGTTTTTTCTTTATTTTTTTAATGGAAATTAATGTCCTATTAGGAAATATTGTCAAAAACATGGATGTGGTAAAGGGAGACGATAATTTGTCAATCAATTTGTGCAGAATAAAGAGGTTACCAAAAATGTCCCATTAGGAAACAATGTCAAAAACATGGATGTGGTACATGGAGATGACAATCTGTCAATTTTCATCAATTTGTGCAGGATGAAGATTGAAAAGGCAGAGGAATTGGTACCTATTTGGCCAATGAATGCTGTGTCAACCAGAGACGCGATAGGGTCAGCTGTCAAGGCCAACGCTGCCGGGAAGGCAATCCGCGCTATCTCTACCCCAAGCTCGTCCATTCGGAAAACAAATCTGTCCATATAATCGGTACAACTAATAATGTCAGAATCGAATTCACATAGCCGACCCCAAATAATTGAGACAACCCGACGTCACATAACATAGGCATAGATGTAAAGTTTAATGGAATGTGTACCTTGCATCTTTAAAGAATATGGAGAGAGGAGATGATCTGTTGTGGTTTTCAAATGTGTACGCATCATCTTTCTCTTCCATAATTGGGAATACCGAAGTTTTCTTTAATATATATAACAATCACATAAACAACAGCTGAGGAATTGTGTCTTAGGAAGCTTGGCTGATCAAGCTAATTGTCCTGTCAAAAACACACACAAAAAAACTCACAAATGAGACTGCAAATTAAAGTTCATAACATCATGCAAAGACAGATATAACTTGTGTATCTCACTTTTTCACACACACACATATGTATATACATCAATGCCCATTAAAGAGAGAGCTTTCATATAGAGAGGGTCAACTTGAAAATTAACTTTCTAACTGAAAGAATTTACATCAGCTTTGAATACTCAGCACCCATTAAAAACAAGAGCCTTCTAATTCAACAGAAGAAAAATCAAATACCTCTCATTGATTTTGTTTGGTAAAAATGCTTCAAATTCAAAGTTTTCACAGGAAAAAAAAAAAAGAAAAGTGTGTCTCACACTTCACATAAAGAAGTCACAATTTGAAAAACTAACCTTGTAACTGAAAAAACATAAATTTGTATTAGCTTTGAATCCTCAACAACCATTAAAAAAAAAAAAAAAAAAAAAAAAAAAAAAAAAAAAATTCTTGTAATTCAAAGTACATAAGAAAAATCAAACACCTATCACTGATTATTATTATTATGATTATTATTATTATTATTTCTGGTGGGAAGAGATTGAAAGAGAGTCTATCACTCTGAGAAAAAGTTAAAATTAATAACATGGAAACCAAAGCTTTGTTATGCAAAGATTCTTCTAGCTTATACTTTAATAGTGGTGTCTCATTTTCAGATGGACCCAAAGAGGAGATTAGACTATCATTCCTTCCAAACAGGAGGGGAGAGAGAAAGTTCATTTCCTTTCTTTCCATGAACTTTCGTTTCTGGCCAGAAGAATAGAGTAGGAAAATGAAGGAGAGGGACCATTGTTATTTCATGAATCCCAGATGAACAAAGTGACAACAATAGCTATGACATGTTTGTTGTGCCCTAGTTGGACTAAGTTGAAAAGCATACGCATTGAGATCGTCCATGTCTTTGCAAAAGATTGGTTGACAAGTGTCTATCATTGTTTGGCTATTTTTCAACAAACTTTGGAAGGTTGAAGAAAAGTCACTGGACTGTGAGAACGATTATGACTTGGAATTGAAATCCACTCTTGCCATAATTTGTACACATTATTGCATTGGAAAATGACACAAAACTTCAAATCAGTATTATTATCAGCTATGTGAACGCTTTGAAGGGAGAAACTACCGTTGTTCATCATTAATTAAGAATTTTTATTAAACACGATTGATCGAAATAACGAAAATATCCATGATCATTTGTAAATTTTACATAACCAAGACACAATTAATATACTAGCAATACAGTTATGTTATGTTCTCTCAATTTCGAAATAAGTGTTCCTTTTTTAGTATCTAAATATTTAAGGGAATATTTTTTATTATATTACCAACGATGTGAACGCTTTGAAGGGAGAAAACACCGTTATTCATCATGAATTAAGAATTTTTATTAGACACCATTGATCCGAATGAAAATATCCATGATCATTTGTGGATTTTACATAACCAAGACACAATTAATACACTAGAAATACACTTATGTTTACTCATTTTCAAAATAAGTGTTCTTTTTTTGGAATCTAAATTTTAAAGGGAATATTTTGTATTATTTTTTTATTATATTGAGAGCGAGTCCACAATGATATGATGATTTATCTTTTATACATTTAAGACAAAGAGATTAAATTGATAATATTGCAAAAAAAAAAAAAAAAAAAATAAATAAATAAATAAATAGCAGATTGACTTTTTAAATGAGACACCTATTTTGGAACACGGATAAAAATAGAAATGTAGACAGTTTTTTTTTTTCTTTTTTTTGGAGGAATGGAATATATTAAAAGTTGAAGAAAAATTATTTCAACATATAAAGGAATTTTTCTCTAATTATAATATCCATGCATCTATTTCATGCTATTAATTTATTTTCATGTAAACATTTGTCGCCATCTTTCTAGTTGTTTTATCCATTAAAAATGTTGTTTTATTGAATCTTAATTTGAACATATGAGAGCAGTTTTCAAAGTAATATGATAGTGTGTGCAAGTGTCAATTCTAAGTTTTACTTAATAATGAATAATATATCTTTTAGTGAAAAAAATGGGGAAATGCAATAGTGAAAAAAAAAAAAAAAAAAAGAAGAAGAAGAAGAAAAGAATAATTGTGGGAATGTGAAAGGATTAATCTTGTCCCAAGAGTTGGAGACACCTTCTGGCATAAGAACAAATAAAAAAAAAATAATATGGTTGAAAACAGGTCAAAGATATTTATAAAAAATCAAAATCAAAATCAAAATCAAAGAGTTTGCTTGCTAGAATAAGAATTGGATAGGAGTCAACTCCACATCTTATTTTATTTTTTCCAAGTTAGGTAATTACTTACATAATTCCAAAATATCCGTTTTAGGGCTCGAATTCTCACTTCTTCTTTTTTTTTTTCCTAATTAATTCTCACTTTATTCAAAAGTTATAGATAGTAAGTTACCTTCAATTGCCATTGATGTTTTATTTGTTTTGATGTAAAATATTTTCAAAAGAAGCTTTCAACATTTTCTAGCATTTGATTGCTTGGAAATTATTTTAACAAATTTTTGTCAGGAAATCGGAATAGTTTTTACTGCCCGAAAAAAAAAATGGGAATATACTCCAAACTCAAATATATAACTATATTTTAGATATATTTACATACACTATTCATATTCCATTCTCATTTTTACTTTGAACTTTCAAACTCAAGAACCTCAAAATCACAATGACAGTACATGCACATATACATATATATATGTAAATATACATTTTCAAGCTACCAAGTAAACCCACCACCTCAAAATGACAATTTTGCTTAACATAATATGATCATTGAAAACATGAAAACACAAAATTAAGTTCCAAAGACAATCATAGAAACCTAAAACGGATACTATCAAGTTTAATTTTCTAAGCCTACACAAAATCTCAAGTAAATCAGTGACTAAACAACATTAAAAGAAAAAAATAAAAAAAAAAAAAATATATATATATATATATATATATATATGTGTGTATATTATTAACTTACTCGATCAATGACGGGGTTGATCAAGAACACACATACATTCCCCGTCAAGTTTCGCAGAAAAAATCCAAGAAACTATTGGGGGAATGTAATGGAGAACTAAAGGTTGGTTGAAAATAGGAGAGAGAGCTTTATAATATGGTTGGTTAATCTGATTGTTGGTTAGTCAACGTGTCTAAAAAAAGGACCAACCGTTTCTTTCAATATTGGGTATATTGTATGGTTATTCTTTTTCTAATATCTGGATTTATTGGATGTACTTAATTTATCCACCCCAAAAAAATGTTTTAAGCATCGTCTAATGAGTTGTGCTTCGTGATTCTTGGAATTCATTTGTCCTAATGAGTTGTGCTAAGCACAGTTGCGACTATGCAAGCTCGGCCCTTCAATTTTATAACTCTCAGAATGAGATTCACAAATTTAAAGGCTGAAATTGTGAATTGTGACTATACTTGGCATTGTGCTTGTCATAACATGCAGTTCCCATGTTTATCTAAATATTAGAACACACATACACTTATATAGATGTATATATAAGCATATACTACTTAACAAAAAATATATATAAGCATATACGTATATGCTCATATTGTGTATAAAATAATATATGCACATATGAATAAGATGTTTTTTTGGGATCAATGTGTAGTGATAAAAACTAGACTGACAAGATGTATGTTTGAATCTCAGAATATTCACTTTAATTGTAAAATATAGTGCTCAAACTTTGGTCAATTTTTAACATTTCTTGTCAGCATAGAGTATATAGATAGGAACAAGTCGAGGGAGGGACATGAAAATTTGAATGAAAAACGAACCAACCAGTAACCATCCTCTAGTTAAGCGAAAATATAATGACATCCTTTATATATATGTTTAAGGAATTACCTAGTTTGATACATAAGAATAGAATAGAACGGAACGGAATGGCATTTCATTCCACTCATTTTCTTATTTGTTATGATATATAAAGTAAAAATGATCATTCTGTTGGTATATATGAAAATTCATTCGGAGGAATGAAAATTCATTTCACATCTAAATCAATAGAATGAAAATTTATTCCAAGGAATAAAATACCTGGACACCGCCTTCCACCACCAACACTACAATCACTGCCTTCTGCCGCAGCTGCCACCACCTTCCGCCACCACCATCGCCACTGCCTTCCGCTTCCACCACCTTCCACTGCCGCCGCTATTTCCACTGCCTTCCATCGCTGTTGTCGTCGTCGTCGCCACCGCCACCACCTTTCGCCACCGTCTTCCAACACTGCTACCATCTTCCACAGCCACCGAGTTCCACCACCATGACTCCTTCCACAGCCACCGAGTTCCACCACCATCTCCTTCCACCACCGCGTACCACTTAGAATAGTGATTATCATTTCATTTATACATTTCATTTCATTTTTTTTTAATCAAACAATCAAATGAGAATGACCATTACATTCCATTGCCATTCTATTTCATTCCTAGGCACCAAATCAGGCATAATTTCTCATCTAAAGCCTTATTAAATAGTATCAACTGAAGTAGTAAATTTACTATTTGACCCACATTTAAGTAAATTTACTACATAAACCTTTTAAATTCTCCATTGTCTTTATTCTCATTCTCAGGGCAAAGTTGGTAGCTAAAATTTTCATCTGTTGGCATAAGTAAGAATTGATGTTAACTAGAATTAACCATTAATGAAGTATGGACATTTTTTTTTTTTTTTCAAAAGGTTAAACAACTGTATATATAATGTAAATAATACGTGAAGGGCCTTTGGCCAGAACAAACACATATAGAAGGAAACAAAGGAGAAGCCAACAAGCCCAAATTTGGCCACAACATTAAACCTTAGCCCATTACAATTGGCCCTAACTAACAAATAACCTAAATTAACGAACTAAATTAATTACGGGTATCTGTGCATTAATCTGGAAGTAGCCCTAGCAAGTAAGAATAGATTAAGCAGTTATGGATGATTCTGATCCTTAATTCGGTGGACATAAAGGAGGTCTGGAGCAAAAAGGAGGTAGATTCCAGTCTTGAAGAATGCGCATTGAAGTAATACAATATTTTAGGAACCCTAATTGAGGAATTAAAGAAATACTACAACTGATTCTAGCCAAAGTAGCTCGATGAGATGATTTCTTCCCCTTGAAGATGTGATCGTTGCGTTCCTCCCATGAATGGTACACCACAAATGAGAGACAAACCTTTCGATACAAGTTGTATGGCGAATTTGCCTTGCAACCAATACTCACCTAAGAAGCCAAGGAATCCTAATTTTGGGTTGGAGTATGGAGATTGCACTTGTCTAGAATGAATCTCGAAATTGGAGAAATAAAGTTACGTTGAAAAAATAGATG